GGGGGGGGGGGGGAAGAAAAAACCCAAACCAAAATAAGGTAAACAGTTAAAAAAGCTTTTAATTCATGACCACAAGAGTATCTCTAAGAGGCTTATCTCCATAATCTACCTAAGGAAAGACAATTGTGTTCATTAATATTTGAAGCACCTGTAAGGACTAAACTCTCCTTAATATCTACTTGTAGGGTTTCAAAAGACAAAGACTTCAGAAAGACACCCCATCTTCTGTGTATAATCTTTTGAAGAAGCATGAGACCTTAGGCCTGCATGCACACATTTCACTGCTACCAAACTCTGAAAGCAAAGACAGGTTGATAAGGAACATGCTGGTGTCACATGCAGAGTCCCCCACTATGGCACATCAGCCATAACTCAGATAAAAAATCTTCCCAGGTCCCCATGATCTCTTGTACCTGGTGGCCTCAGACAACTTTCTGTGGATTTCTTCATACACGTCAACATTGAAGGTTCTCTGGACAAAGGACAGGGCCATCTTGAGAGCTTCCACCCGCAGCTGAGGGCAGTGGTCAGCAATGAACTGCAGCCGCTCGATGCGCATCAGGCCGCTGTAGCTGGAGGCGTACTGCTCCAGGTCCTGCAGAGAGCTGGGCTCAGAGGGTGAGGCAGCAACACACAGCAGGCTACTGAACTGCATGGACACCCTGCAGATCTGAGCCCTCGTGCAGGGCAGAAAGACTCAGACAAACAAACAGGCAAGATTATTCCATCCCAGCTCTCTTTAGTCATTAGTGAGTGGCTCAGAAACACCCAGGGCCTCACAATCCACCTTTCAATTTCAGTTCTGTTCTGTTCCAACCCACCCACTTCAAGCATCAGTTGTATCACCTGTTAATTTTGTCAAGATCCCATCACTTCAGCTGTAGTTCCCTAAAACAGACAATTCCAGATATGTTTTTTGCTCAAAAAAACAATTTCCATATGACAATTTGCATTCTTTTGTTCATACTAATTTCTTAAAATATTTCCTTTGAGAGCAAACAGGGTCTCTTCCTCTTGAGGTAGGATCTAAGGTTTACATTCTGAACACTTAACAGATGTTAAGCATTAAGGTGGGGGAGGCAGGGGAGCACAAAACACCCAGCAAAGGGCTTTGAAGGGAGATCTCCTGAAGACAGAAGCACACACAGCCAACCAGAGCAGAATGCTGAGGGCAGAGTCCAGCACTCAGGCAGCAGGAAACAGACCCAGCCTGGCTGTCCACAGCTCATCCCCATCCCATGCCCCCTCTGACTCCCTCACCCCTGTGTCTGAATTAAGATTCCACTACAGATGTCACAGGAGCATTTTCTAACATGACTCTTGCTTCATTCAATGAGAGATTGATCTTTGTCTAGACTGAAACAGAACTTGAAAAAATATAAAGGCATTATTTCTTCCGCAGTTTGTGTCTGATGGTGCACGAGACTCCTGAAACCCCCAGTGATTTCACTTGACTCCTCAACTCTCTGAATGTCAAAGGGGAATCACGTCCTTCACACCAGTTACAGTGAAAAAGAAACTCATTAATTGCCATGGAACACTTAGATGCCCTAGTAATAACAAAGACATAAAGGTCACAACATGATTGCTTCATCACTCTAGCTTCAGAACAGAAGTGAAATGCAGTAAAATCAAAAAAGGTATCAGATCATACACTGAAAAAAAAAACCAAACAGATCCAACAAAAAAAACAAAACCAACCAACCATGCAGTAAACAGTGAATATGACAACTGTTAAAGAGGAACAGATTAAAGCTTCAGAGGTTATGAGAGATCCAAAGCTTCCTAAATTAATGCTTCCTTTTGCAATTTTAATGTTGCTTTAAACTTTTTCCAATTAACATTTCTGTTGTGTTCTGCAATACCCATATCTCACTGTCACAGAGCTGATACACAGAAATGGGCTGAAATCTCAAACCATTAGCTAATAACTAAAGAAAGTGATAAGGAAATACAGCCTTTTATAACTCAAGAGCTGTGTGGGTTTTAGCCAGTCTCCAGAGGATCAAAAAACTAAATCATTTTATCCTAATACAAACACTCCTGAAACAACAAGTAACCAGGGATGTACTAAGTCATTTCAGAATGAAAACTGTGTCAAACAGGCAGAAAGCCACAGAGCAGCAACTCCTTCCCCATCTCAGCAGGTGCAGTGGAGTCAGCATGTGACAAGGAGCTACAGAAGAGGCCACTGCTATTCTTACCCCACCTTGCTTTGAAGAAATCTATTAATCTCTAATTAACAATTTGACAAGGAGTAAAATGAGGGAGTTTTTAAAAAACCTTAAAGGAAGCGGCCATGCCCAAGGGAAGTAACCCACGGCCCCTCAGCCAGCACATACCAGAGTGGGGTTCTCCACCACATAGTTGATATCAGGTGCATTTTGCTGATCTTCTTGTGGATCCACATCTATCTGCATGGGCTCTACTGCACCCTAGGACAGCAAAAGGAAGCCAAAAGCAGCTTATTATATTTGAGCAGGAAACAACTATGTGATTCAATCCACTAAGGACTTGCTTAAATACAGATTAAATTTTAAAAATTAAAAAGCATCCCTCAGTCTTTAGACATGTTTAGGATTGTTCTCTACCAACAGCACTGCTCAGCACCAGATTTTGTCTAAACCAGGCAGCTCAAGGCTCAGCATCTGCACAGAGTGTTTGATTCTGTTTGGCAGATTATCAAGCAAGAGAATCAAGTGAGGGGGTCAATAAACCTGATTCTACAAAGTGTCTCAGGCATGCATGCTAAATTCCGAATGATATTCCTTATCTCTTCCTTGAGCAAAAGCAGGCATTAACACCCAGGTTCAGGAGCTCTGAAAGTCACAAAGTATCCAAAAATACAGACCAGAACCTTTCAAAGCTGCTTTAACACTGAAAAGTATTGTTTGGAGGGTGGGGGGAAAGGCAACAACTATTGCACTTTTTTAAGTATGAAAAAATGTAAGCAACAGAATGCAGAATGGCAACTCCACGGTTTCTAACAAATACTGGGGAAAAATTTACCTGCACTGCAAAGATTTACCATCAGCTGAACTCTCCTACTATAGTTATCCGAGTCTGACTGCTCAGGAGGATTCTTTTTTGCAGGAACAACACTTTCATTCTCCCAGTATGTCTTGCACTGCCCTGAACCACACCAGCAACCATCAACACAGCCCTCAGTGCATCTGCACCAACACACCAGCCTGACCTGCCTCACAGCTGGGGCATGATCACAGAATTCTGCTCCTCCTCCTGGTCATGAGCTCAACACTCCCCTGAACTACCACCTAGACTCAGAAAAACCAAGCTGAATGTCTTCTTATACCATGCTGAGTATGTGCAGTTCTTGCCACAAGACACACCTGACTTGGGGCAAACTGCATGAGTGGCCTGAGAAAGGACCAACAGCCACACCCCCACCAGCACCAAATTAATTCCAGTTCTTTATAGATTTTGCTGTCTGATAAGAAATCAAAGATAGACAGGGGTTGGGGCTGAGTTGGTGGTTCTTCTTGCAAGGAGGAATAGGGCAGATTTCCTAGCTATAAAAATTGACACATCTTGTATTCACCCCCAGCCTGTTCATCCGTTCATAGACTGGCATGTGCCAAACACAGACACACCTCAATGCTGCTCTGAAATCTCCCAAAATCTGAAGTGAAAAATATAAAAGTTTGTTATTCCCTGTGTGAAGGAAAGGGAGGGAGGATGCAAAGGAGAGTCTGATTGTATCACCACTCAGGAAAACAGCAAAAAACCATTTAAATCACCGCATATTGAGACCATTCCTTTTTTCAATTTTTACCTGCCTTTTCTCTCTTGTTACATCACTAAGTGTCAGGGTTGCTTTTTTCAGGCTGTGCCTGCCTACCATAGTGAAAACCTACTATGGACTCCTTGGAAATCAGCATTGTAAAAACTATCAGTGGCTGCAGCTGGTGCAACAGAATTATTAGTGTCCTGCTATGCTGGCAGATTGTACTCTTCAATTCCCTCTGAACTCCCAGACAAGAAAAAGTACAAGTGGGCTGGAAGTCCCACTGGGACGCACACACAAACATTTTCAAGCTGACTACTTTGGGAAGAAGATGCAAGACTCATTTAAGAACTGCTCACAAAGCAAGTAATGTTCACTCTGCATGATTTCCTGAGCCCAGAAGGGTGCCCCGTTGCAAGGCACCTCACAAAGCCTCAGATAAGCTGACAATCTGGCACCGAAGGTTAGGTCTCAGTGCTGGGCTCGGGAGGGAGAGGTGTGTCCTGCTGCCGGAGGGGCTGCAGCTCAGAGCTGTCACTGAGCATGAAGCTGAGCTCTCTCTCATCCTGTCCTGACTTTCTGCACCCCTGCAGAGAACCTCCCGGCTGCTAACGGGAGGACAGGACAGGCAGTTAACTCGCACAGGGATCAGAGTGCGGCGACTGACAGCCCAGGCTCGGCCACCGACCCCCTCTGGGCTCCTACGGCTTTCCCCCGCTACTGCACTCTCAGATCCTCTTCATCGTCCCTCGTTGCACCCTCCTCTGCTGCCCCGGACCCACCGACGGCACGTGCAACGCGGAAATCAAGCAAGGGAGCGGCTGCGGCGGCGGGGAGGCCGCGGGGGCGGAGGTCGCTCGGCTGGGCGCTGCTCCTCGCAAACGGCGGCGGAAGCGAAGCCAACG